CCCAGGGATTTGCCGTCCGGGGTGAGGTAGCAGGGCTGATGGTGTTCACGTTCCCAGCGCATTGCAATGCAGAGCGCAATGTGTCCAGACAAACTGCTGTCAATGCTGGAGCGAGTCTGGAAGTGTCGCGCTCTGATCTAAATGGTAGAAATTTTGGAGGAGAAATGCCCGTTTTTTCACTTGCCTGACAGCCCAAACAGTGTCATTTAAACTTCTTCACAGTGTCATTTAAACTTCTTCTTGTTTCCATTGTTGTATTGTATTGTTTTGGTTTGGTCTTTTGTCTGCTTCTGAATATGTACAGCTCATGCCCAACTTCTATCCAGCCATCAAGATGGAAGAAAAACAGGTGTTAATCTGTGAATTAAGTATTGAAATATTTTGTAATTTGTTTCAAAGGTTTATTTAAATTACAAAAAGTATGTGTGTGTGTTTTTCTTTTCCCCTCTCAGGTTTGCAATTATGTGTGGCTATATGTCTCAGTTTGAAAGTGTACAAAACAAAATCAGGAATGGTTATCTCTTTAAGGTATGTTTTTGTAGGATTTGGGGTTTTTTTAAGCTATTCCTTTAAATTATTTCCTTATATAGTGTCTAAGACAGATTTTTCCAACACAGTAATTCAGCCACACGGGTCTATTTTGGTGCTGATGGTAAAGTGAAAAAGTTATTTTTATGTATGCAAATAGATTATATGCTTACAAAATATAAGAACTGAGGTAGGATTCTGGGAACAGCATTCAGATTTCAGTTTTATTTTTGTAGTCAAAGGGGGGAGGAAAAGGGAGTAACAATTCTGTTTAGAAAATAAAAACATATGAAATATCGAGTGATGAACTAACAGAGTTCTGCAATCATCCTCCATGCCACCCTTAAGAAGTAATATTTGTTTTAACACTGTCCTTTCAAGGTAACTGTGTTTCTTAGAGTTAGCAGTTTGTGTTACATGTGCTACCCTCCCCCTCCTCGTCCTTGGCATTGCTTAGGCGCTTTCCATCCCTTGCCCTCCCAGCCCGTGTCCCCCCTTTCTGGGTGTCAGTGAGAGGCAGCAGACGTGTTCCACTTCCCAGGGAATGCCCGGGATGGGTCTCTATCACATCATGTCTGTGTTAGGGCTTGGAGTGTCACGGAGCTTTCCCATAAGAGAGCATTAACTACACCTGAGCTGTGCCAAGGAGCTAAGCCCTGAGCACGGGGACAAGCTAGGAACGAAAGGAAAATGACACCACAAGTGCTGCAGTTGTTTGAGGATGGAGTTTTAAAAGAGCGCGCAGTGTTAGCAGTAGCCTTTTCAGGGAGGTTTTCCTCTTCAGAAGTAACTACTGAAATTCCTGTGAATCATTTGGAAATGTTAAGGATTTGGGAAAATGATAGCATGAAAACATAGCTCCTATCTGAATAGTTTGTGGACAAAATGATAGAATAATAGAATCATTAAGGTTGGAAGAGACCTCTAAGATCATCGAGTCCAACCGTCAACCCAACACCACCATGCCCACTAAACCATGTCCCTAAGCGCCTCATCTACACGTCTTTTAAATACTTCCAGGGATGGTGACTCAACCACTTCCCTGGGCAGCCTGTTCCAATGTTTCACCACTCTTTCAGTAAAGAAATTTTTCCTCATGTCCAATAGGCTCTTACATCTGTATAACTCAGATATTTAGTAACTGGCTTAATTAGAAAAGAGAGATATCTGGGGGGGGGGGGGGGGGGGGGGGAGAATTTTTTTTTGGAGGGGGGGGGGGGGGGGGGTAGAAGTGAAATTTATTTTGAGAGGCAAATGGTAGTTAGGGGCGAAATAACATATTTCTTTTTTCTTCAAACGCAGGTTGAGCAATAAGAGCTTGCTTTGGTAAATTAAAGAGTGAAATAAAGATACTCATGATCTGTAATGAAAATGGTTTTGGAAGAAGCACCTCATTAGATGCTTTCTAGGTTTTGTGGTTTCACTATAAATAGAACCATTTTATTTTCAGAATTTCATATTATAGTAACAATTTGTTGTGTCATGTACCATTTCATTGGGGCAGTCACATTCCAGGGTGGAAGAGACTATGCTTCAGTGATGGGTGCTGGCATGTGAGAACTATCAAAGAGAGTGGTTGCTTTCTCACTGGTTTGGTGTGTGACAGTTTCCTAATACTAACTGCAAATAAAATTAATTTAATTGAAGTTGTGGCCTTTTTAAGACAAAAGTTCTTGAGTTCTTTGATTGAACTTTAGAGCTGCTTAATCATGTTCTAAATACAGCATGCCTTCTTGCATTGTGTGCAAAGCTGCTAAATAATTTTGTTTGTGGTTTCCCTCCATGAGGAAGGGGTTTGCTAGTCAAAATATTTTTGGGTTGTCAGAAAAGAATTGCAGCAGAAGAGAACTTCTGCATTTGTTTATGATTTGCAGCAAACTTCTTAGAATGTAAACACACTTGCCAAACAAACATCTAAAGTGACACTGATTTTCTTTCTCATAGGAGCATCTAGACAAAGCAATTGAACTTAAGCCTCAAGATCCTTTTTTATATTACCTACATGGAAGATGGTGCTATTCAGTAAGTTTTTTTTTTATCTGACTTATGAATTGAGTATACTGAAAAATGGTAATGCATTTGAAATGAAACAGTGGGACTTTAAGACAAAGTAGATGTTTATGGAAGTAGATGTTTTCAGCTAAATGAAGCAGCACATTTACAATTCCTGAATTAACTTCCACATGTGTGATGTTAACTGCTGACCATTCCTGTCATGTACATTAAGTAAGCTGTGCTTGTATGTCCCTCATTGTTGTAATCAGGTTTCTTATCTGAATGTATGAATGAAAAGTAACTGATGCTTGGAAGGGAGGAAGGCTGACCTCTGGTATTGTAGGCCTTGATTTCAGCTCTTTATTCTGCCACAAACTTTCTGGGTGGCCTTGGGCTGGTAATGTAGCCTTTTGGTAACTTTATTCTCCATCCATAACTGAAGTTAAAGGCACTTATGTGCTGTGGGATTATGGCTATGGCAGCAAGGCTACCATACTGGCTTGATGAATTCCAGGAGAATGTCACAACAAAGATCGTAGAATCATAGAATCATTAAGGTTGGAAGAGACCTCCAAGATCATCGAGTCCAACCATCAACCCAACACCACCATGCCTACTAAACCATGTCCCTAAGCGCCTCATCTACCCGCCTTTTAAATACTTCCAGGGATGGTGACTCAACCACTTCCCTGGGCAGCCTGTTCCAATGTTTAACTACTCTTTCAGTAAAGAAATTTTTCCTTACATCCAATCTAAACCTCCCCTGGCGCAACTTGAGGCCATTTCCTCTCGTCCTTTCGCCAGTTATATGCAGGCATAAAAATCTATAATTCACCAAAAAGTTTTGCAAGAGATACCATTTGTGTTATGCCAACACAACAGGTGCTTTTAAATATTCTGTTAATGACAGTGATAAGAACTCATATATGAAAAATTAAAATAATTGTTTTACAAACTTTAGCTGTTGATTAATTTATTTTTTTTCTTTTAGAAAAATGGTGCTTGTGTTTGTAATATGAGAATTGTCTTATTCTTAAGCCCACATCTTTGATGGCTCCGATGGCTATCGTTATCGCTTCATCTTTAGTGCTGTGAGGAATCTTTTGTCAGAAGAAAATGTTCTTGCATAGTCTATGCTGTAAAAGATCACTGGGAGGCTTCTGAGAATAATAACTGCTAATGCACAGTGAATTCCAGTCCTGCCCTTTTCCTCCAGCTACTTTCAATGCTAGTCACTACGAAGTGCCTGCAAACTGAAAAGGAGGAGTTGCTGTGATACATTGCAGCCTTTGACTTTGTTTTTATCTGCAACAAGACTTAATGCAAAGTAATCTTTGAGCAGTTTTTTCCGATCATATATTTAACTTTCAAAGAACTTTCAGCAACTACATTTTTTTCTCAGTTGATTTGAATAAGAAATGACACCAACTTTTTCAAAGAGCTTTTCATTTTGGTTTTCATCACGCTGTATTCTTGATTATCAGCACTAGCTATGCAAAAGTGAATTGCTGGAGATTGACCTATGGTATGCTTGCTGTCCTGCCTTTGAAGAGCATCTCTCTCACCAGTGATTCCTTAAGCACTTTTATACTGTACTGTGTCCAACAGCTGACTGTAGCTTCCATTTATGTCAAACAATCCCAGATGTTTTTCATGGCTTATTTCTCACTTGAGCTATCGCTTTTGGAAACTTTACATGTAATGTCAGCATACCTCACTTTCTTCTTATCATACTGGGTTTTTACTCTTGTTTCATTTTAGTGACAATCACCACTTCCTGACTAATACATGTGGTTTGTTGCGCTATATCATTACAAACTCATGTTCCACACTTGCAGCATCTATGCAGGTCTTCCTTACTGAACATTAAAGCCACAGATTAGCATTTGCTTTAGCATATGACCTGACCTGCATTTTATTAAGTGAAACAATCCACCTAAACAGATGTAGCCACTGAAATACTTAAGGATTGATTCCTTTTTTTCTTCTTTTTTTTCTTTTTAAATTCTTGCCTTCTATGGCTGTCTTGATGGCCATGACAAAATAGTAACCTGAAATAGTTAGAACAGATTTTCATAGTACAAATAAATGCAAGTATAGGACTGAATAACATTTTGTTTTAACTTCTGGGGCTGTCAGCTCGTAAAAACTTTCTGTCAGTTGCACACTTTCAGTAGCAGGATGAGGCCATCATTTGGGAACCTTAGTTTTGAGGCTCTGCTATGGAAACTAGATCTTAATCCTAGCCCGGTGAAGTTGGTGATATCCTCATTAGTTTTAGCAGACTGTATGAGTAGGTTTCTGTGCTGATCCATTAATACAGGTCTTGGCCATGCATGTGATATAGATAGCCTTAGAAGCTTGTGGAAGATGTGGCAAATTCCTTGGTCCTATTCTGCAGGCTGTGGTGTTTTATGCTGTGGTAATTATTCCAAAAGTAGACTGTTGGCTGTGGCACTGGTTCCAAATACTTCTTCACGGTAGGGATTATGATAGGGTGCTTGAAAGATACATTTATCACTTCTTCTCTATACTGGTACCTGTAGATGAGATGGAGTGATAATGCTCTTAGCCCTTCTGTTTTTCTGTTTAGTCTAGCTGAGATTGAGGCTGGGAAGGCTGTGTTGTCCAATGTGAGGGAATTAAAGAAGAAAAAGGGTTGACTGAGGAAAGAAGGTTAGTTTTTATATTTAGCCTAGCTGACTTTGGGGTCCAGTTAGGACTGGACTGGATATTTGTTCTTTCACAAGTGGTGTTTCCAGGGGCATTATTGTCTGGTTTTAGTCTCATATTCTTCTACTGAAGCAGTGTAGTTAAAAAAGGTAACTAGCATTTGATACTTTCTAGGCTTTGATAACATTTTTGAGAAACATGATGTACTTAAGTCTTCCTAGTATAGTCAGACGCTTCCCATTCACTCCCCATGTAATGCTGGAGGATCTTATTACTATCTTCCAGTGCGGTTTTTTGGGCTGACACACTGAAAAAAATAGGTATAGCATAAGAGGCCGCAAAAGGGGATGCTTTGAGTGTTGAAAATGTGGGCTTCAGTTCATTTCATTTCACAAATGAAAATCAGTTGAACAGACTTTTAAGTAAAAAGTATAGTGGAGGCAAACAGAGAAGATTTCTTGAAAGCTGAAATCTATATCCAGAGACTGCATGCTGTACTCGTAAAGCTCTTTGATTTGTGGAGTTTTGCCAGAATTTGGCTCTGACTGCCATTTCTCACCTTCCTCAGTGTAACACACTCCTTTGCGAAGAGCAATGGTATGGCAATGCCAAGTTTCTTACTCAGCAGTTATTCTCGCTGGGCCAGATCCAAAGCTGATGCAAAGTGTCATAGCACCTTCCAGCAGGAGGGATGAGCTGGATTTTCACAGTGGGGGTTTGTCTCTGATGCAGAGCCAGTGACAGTTGTGTGCCACCTTGTCTAAAAATCAATTTTTGCTGATTCTTATTTCTCTTACCATTATAAAGCCTGTAGAGCTATACAAAAGAGGAAGATTCTGTTCTGATGTGTGTATCATCTCAGCTTTGTCAGAAAATTACTTCTGGTATCACAGTCGGGTAGGCAAGGTTTTCACCAATCATTTCATAGATGTCATGATGGGCTAAATTTTGCCTGTGAGACCTGCTGTGTATACAAGAAGCCACATATAGCTCTAATGTTTTTTGTTTTGTTTCGCAGAGGTGACAAGGGGGAAAAAAAAACCTATTTATTTATGCATTGAGCAAACATAATTGAACACCACTAGTAATGGATAACTGCAGAACCCTACCAAACATTATTTTAATATTCCTTTTTCCAGAGCTGATATGAACTTCTACGTAGTGGTAATTTTTTCCAGGGTAGCTTTAGTGATAATATTAGGAAAAGATGATTACCCTATAATTGTAACAAACATACTTTAAAATACTTTGCTAGTAAGCCAAGCAAACCAGTGTTTAGTATGTAAAAGATGTTACTATTCCAAAGAAAAACAACTGCAGCAAAATAATTTTCATTTAAAATGTCTTTGGTGGTGGACGAAACTCTTTCTTCTCAGCCTTCTGTGACAAAAACAGGCTTTGTTAAGTACATATCTTTTAGGGAACGTTTAATGTTTTAAATATATGCTTGGGTTAGTTGATGTGATTTAAAATAAGTACAGTGTTTAGAGCCTTTCAAGTTTCAGCTTTGTTTTTGTTATGGGAAAGTGAAAACTACTTTGCTCTTCACATCAGCAAGAAATATTTATTGGAAGTGAATTGATCTGTGGTGCATGGTGTATAGGAATTATTTTTTTTTTCCTTAGAGTTTTGGGCACAATTATCTGATAATCCTTTTAATTGTGTGTTTATGTTTTTTTTTTTTAGTGTTTTAATGTTTAGAATAGATTTTAAAATGGAGTACATATCTAGTTAAGACTTATGGCTACTTGCCATTACAGGACTGAAACAGAACAGTTAGCATATACTTGTGAAACTGGATCAGAGCCTCTGGTAAGTGCTAGTGGGGTGTTAAAAATTAGATCTCTTGGAATTTTCTTTTTGCAGGTTACATGCCATGTATTGGATTCATCTCTGGTGTATCCCAGTATCTGTTTGGGTTACATCAGGGAACAAATTGACCCAGTTCCTTTGTCAGTGTGCTCTGTAAGTCTGCTCCCCTTACTGGAAAGTAAAAAGCCCAGGGGATTAGAGTTGGATAACTGCCTAAATGCTTGTGCAGACTGTCTTGGTTCTTCAGCTGGCAAGAAAGAGAATATTTGTGTTGGAAGGCAGTATTTTAAAACTGCTGTCCAGTTACTTAATCTCTTCCAGAAGTCAAAACATTGCAAAATTATTTAATACAATTTTACATCAATATATTGTAATGAAAAAGAACAAGAAACTCTCTGGGGATATTTAAATAGGTGCCATTAATATTTTACTGAAGCTGGATCAATGGGATGATTTTCCTTTATGGAAGACAATTGTGTGATCTGTCTTCAGTGAGCTAGTAGCAAGGAAACATCGGAGGAGGAAATCCTTTAGGGCTGCAAGTCAATCCTGGCTGAATTTTCAGTCCAAGTGGGTTGGTTTCCTTGGTACCAAGATCCTGGAATTCGAGAAGAGCTGTCAATGGGCAGGATTTGCATCTCATCAAAAACAAACAGAAAACAAAAACAAAAAAACAGACTCCAGCCAGTGTTTTAGTTCATATGTGTTTTTTGCTGCTCCTAGGCTAAGGAAGAGAAAGGGATGTTAGGAAGTCCCTTTTCCCAGTATTTAAGGGAGAACCACATTTTCTGCATTGGTCTTCAGAGGAGCAAGAGGCCTGATAAGAGTGTGCTGAGTACGAACTTTACGGTCAGCTGCAGTTTAACTCTGTGGGTGGCTTTCTTCCATCTCTGGTATTAGTAGAGATTTGGGTAGAAAAAGTGGATGCGAGCTTGCTGTTTGACAGACCTATAGGAGAGATTGTTTGAGACAAGCATCTCTGTTAGCTTTGGGATACTGAAGAGTGGCCTCCGCTCCTTGGCAGGGGCCAGGCTGTCGTGGTGACCCACTCCCCTCCAGCCCTAGGGAAGTTCAGGAGTTGGCTGATGGTCCCTCAGGCCCTTGTTTGTTGCTCTTGAGCGAGTGGGACTAGCTCTCTTCATGTATGGCAGCTGGGGAGTGGTGTTCCTCGAGTGACCCAATACATTAAAACCTGATATTCTGTGGAAACGCAGTGTTCCTTGCAGTGCTCTCGTGAATTTTCAGGCTGCTGGGAGGACTGATGTCAGGGCTTGGGAGACCTAAAAATCCAAAACTCACTTAAAGTTTGGAAATCATCTGTAGGGCAAGCGCAATCTTCATTCTTTAATTTTTTGTTGTTGTTGTAGCTATTACTTGCTGCAGTAGCTGTTTTTCTTATGACTTTCTGCTGTCCTATACCATTCTTGGAACACACATTAAGTGGAATCATGGTTCTGCTGAAGTTGATGACGGTTACAGTCTCTTTGTACTTGATTTTGTATGGACCTCCAGATATGCTTTGCACTGTTTGGAATAACCTTGACTGTAGAAGTCAAATTTGCACTACACTAGAGCATGCTACACCAGGGTTTCTGTTGCCTGTGCTTGCTCACACACAGAGAATGCTTAATAAAGTTAGTTGGTATGGTAGGAATGATGTTTCCATTTCACTGAACACGGCATAAGATTTACTCTAATAAAGTTATTTCAAATTAAAGACTGTGCTTGTGTGTGTTCAGGGGAAGGGTATAATTTCCTGTTCATCATTATTGCTCCAGGACACTATTTTGTGTCTTGCATAAAACAGGTCTTTTCCATTTGTCCCACCTCAGTCATAGGGGGGTGCAGACTGACTCAGGTGGGGCGTGGTTAAGCTGTTGTGATGGGATTCACCTCACCTGTCTTTAGCCATCCACAAGGTATAATTGTCTATGCTCCTTTTGTAGTTGAAGGAAAGAAAGAAGAGAAAGAGAGGAGTGTTCATCCCAGGCTAAGGTAGGTGAAGAGGAATTGCCTAATGGAAATGCCCCACTCTGTATTGACCATGCAGGCAACCTGGAAAACTCGTGTAAACTAGGCACTTCATTTATGGATGGCTAGAGTTAGCTGCAATAAATTCATTAAGCCAGTGGCATATAAGTCTGACTGCTCAAAACATTACAGAACTCTCAGGCTATCTGTATAATAGTCACAAATGCTGGAGCCAGTGCACATTAAAGAAAACTCACTGTTGTGCATACGTGCATTTTGCTTTTAAAGATTGTTTTAGGTTGGTGGGATTTGTAATATAAAAATGGCCAAGTGCATATATGTTTGGGCTTTCTTAAGTTTGAATAGTGCAAAGCAGCACCCAAGCCAGACAAAATAAGGACTAAAACCTCAGTAAATCAGTTCTGATTAAATCTTGTAAGAAAATAAAACAACTGCCAGGAAGAACTTGTGTTTTCAATAGGTAATTATAACTCCACATGGAAAAACTGCAGTTTTGTTTCCTCACTATTGCCTAACAGCAGACACGTGTGTTAATTGTATCTGTGCATATGTGTATATGTGTATCTCCAGGGTGTTGTGTGGTCTTGCAGAGAACAGTGGAAGCATATACATTCCCTTTATTTTTTTCCCCCTCTCTTCCTCCCTCTGTAAACTACCTCTATCTTGGTGTGATGGACCTGGAAATATAGAAAACCCCTCCCTCTTCGAAAAGAATAGAGAACACTGCAGCAGTAGATTGGCCTGAAGAAAACGATACTTTTGCAAAAATCCTTTTAATATCTCTTGCAGAATATGTCTCAACCTATAGAGCTGCTAGGGAAATTAAGTGTGTGAGGGAATACATACCTACAATCTGAAGTTTTAACCTGCATGCTGCAGTTTGTAACACAATGTGAAAGCACTGCAGTGCAGAGAGGGGAAACATCTTGTTGCTTCAATGAATAAGAACTCTGGGACTGCTGGAGACCTTTTGTAAAAAACACTTTATTCCCTTAGAAGAGGATTCAAGAGTGGGATATATGAGAGAGAGAGAGAGAGAGAATGAAAAAAGTCTTTATTTTCTTAATACTGTTTCTCTCTGGCATATATTTTTTAGTGGTTTTGTATGAAAGACTTACTGACGGCATTTAACAAATAAGGCATTGGACCCTGCCAAACAACCAGCAAGACTTGACCAGGAAGCCTTCTGTCTCCAAGCAATGTTGCTTTTATGTAGCTAGAGTCATTGGGGCCAGATGAGGAAAACATGGTCCTATGTGTTTTCCTGTTGCGTGCTGGTCTGTATTTGTACTCTTTGCAATGGTATTTTTAGGGCAGTTTGCAACAAGAAATACAGAGAGCTTGATGTCTGTTCAAAAGAGAAGCATGCTCTTTGGGGGTTGGACTAGATGACCTTTAGAGGTCCGTTCCAACCCAAACTATTCTATGATTCTATGCTGGTTGACAGCTATGGATAGTTATGTGTGGATGGATTCTTATATTTTACCGTAATTAACTGACATCTACTGGATAATTGCTGGATTTAGCTGGAAAAGGTGGGGGGAGCAGCAAGAGCCCTGAAGAGATTGGGAAGCCAGGGAATGAGGCGGGAATAATCTAAAGCTATCCAAAACCATTTTAATTTTTACAGCAGTAGGACAGACTTGAGGTCAAGGTTCAACTCTGTTATTTGAATTGCAGCTCCTTCTGAAAAAGAGATGTCCCTATGTGGCTCATATTTCACCTCCAGGTCCCCAATGAGAGGCGCTCTTGCTCTGCCTGTGTGTATCCCTTCTCTGTGTTGCCTCTGCATAGATCAGGCCAGAAATTGCTAGGAAAGCACAGAACCTTGTTTTTTTACCATTTTTAAACTCAGCTGTACTCTGTGACAGGAGCCATCAGTGCTGTGGTTCGAATACTGATGTGAGGGAATAAAGTCCTGACTTTTCTTTACAGATGTAGTAGAAGTGTCCAAAGGAGGGTGGCTTCACTTCTCCATTTAAACAGGCTCCAGTCTCACATTGCATTTCTTAGCAGCTCCATCCTTCATTAGAGATGTGAGGTGTGTTTCACCAGGTTAGGTGATGGAGCCAAATACCTTATGGCAGTAACCAGAGCAGTTTCTGTCAGGTGTCAGTATATGTAAGGGAAGAAGTCATGTACGTTGTGTGGCAATATGACAGTTCCCTAAAGTCCTTTTACAGCAGTCCATCTTCCTGAAATGAGAAGAGGTCTTTGGCAAGTGTTATTTGTCAGATTTGAAGAGAAAAAAACGAAGCCTATTTCTTAACAGTGGTTGTCACCAGCTTCTGTGTAATAAATGAACTTGTTTTACAAGCGCCAAAAGCATTCACATTTTGACTGTAGCAACAGCTCTTCGTAATGTTGAAAAGTAGTCAAGTACATGGACTATCGTGCTAAGCTGTCTGTCTCATGAAAATCTTAACAGGTTTAAAGCACTATTTCTAGCCTTAAGTTTTAAAAAACGGCAAGGTCTTAGGAAACCTAAACTGTACTTTAAGCTTTGTACATTGGAATAATCTCATATCAATGATGTTGGTGTGTTGTCATGTATTTCTTAATGTGTACATTTTCCTGTTAACAGAATCTAAAATCCAAAAGACTATGTTTTGAGCTGGAAAATCAACAGTATAAAACATTCCTTTACAGGTTCTTTTGCAAAATAGCTTGTATAAGTAGTACAGTGGCACAGGACAGTATTTACTCCAAAACTGAGAAGCAACCCTAAAGACTTTTGATTGTTGTTTGTTTGTTTGTTTGTTTTTAATTATAGGTAGCTCAGTTGTCTTGGATTGAAAAGAAAGTTGCTGCTGCTCTCTTCGGGACTCCACCAACTTCAACAGTGGAAGAAGCACTGCAGAATTTCCTTAAGGTAAGTCCTAGCCAAGGGTTTTCCCGTGTGACTGTTTACCAGCTGGTATATGTGACTGTTGTCAAGGTGTCTGCTCAACAGATTATGTTCAGTAGCTATAAATCCAGGACTCTCCTAAATACCACAGAGCTCTCTACTAAAATATTTTTTCCTTTCTATTTTAAAATTAGTTTGGAGGTGAGTGGCTAGCACCTTTCTTCTCTTTCTTTAGTTTTAGGGAATTCTTCAGTGACTTGCCGTGGTTAATAGTTACTGGATTTAATGTGAGAGGGATATAGATCAGTTATATATGCCATTGAAACAAATTAACCATAGCGGTAACTGATCATTTGCCTGTTTCTGCAGGAGGGTTAACATAGGCAAGGAAAACTTTGACATTGTGTCACTTCCCTTTTTCTGATCTGAAGCTCTTTTCGTTGACTTTCAGAAGAAGCCTTTCTTGTTTGTGGAGTTGAGATTACCTTTGAGTGAAGTAGAAAAGAAAGCTCTGGCATATAGGTCCATGTTCCTGGGCATTCTACTTGAATGCACAGTTATGAGAAAACATCACATGAATAAAACAAGCCTGTCTTTCAGTGGCTTTTATATGAATAATTTCTACTTCTGGAGCTGAAAAATACATTTTTCACTTGACTGAATTCAAAGCATAAACTTCCATCATTACAATTACTTTCAGACAGTTTCTCAAAGGAATTGGACAAGCATATTTTCTTCACTATCAAAAGTGCTTGTTTTCTGTGTTCTTAATCTATTTAAAGATGGAATGATCTCCTGAATTTTGGACAATACAATACATTACCATCTTCTCAGTTTAAGAGATTTTATCTTTAAGGTCAAACTCCAAAGGTGGTAGAAATAATTTGAAATGTTCACTTTAGCTTCAGGGTATTTTGTGGTGAGCTGGAGAGTAACTGTGGGTTTAAGTCATCTTCTGCAACAAAGATTAAATTGCTGTCTAAAAGACAACTGTTCGGGTTTCTTTTTCAGTTGTTTGATAATACACAGTTGTAGTGAAAGCAGCATTGTTTTGGTCCAAGGATTACAGCTACTATAAATTTCACTGATGTAATTTTTCCCCAAAAGCTGTTTGTTGATTAAAGCTGCTTCTTGGTTAGTAGATAATTGGTAAGGTTTTTACTCATCTTTCAAGCTTCTACATCCTTGATGTGTTTTAAAAGGAAGACAATCTTGAACTGTTTTAATGACCTGAACTTTTCAGAAGATGGTAATGTGAAAAGTGAACCCAGAGCTAGAAGATATGGGTCTGTGAAAGAAAACAATTATAAAGTTGATGAATACAGTCCATTACCCATTACACAAAGTATGAATGGTTGGTTGCTTGTTTATTTCTTTGATGAGGAAATAAATATTAATAATCCAGAGAGAGCAGTGTCTTCCAACCCACTATGTAAGTGAATGAATCCAATAGATATTCTATAGAATGATCTGATATCTTTACAAAGCACTTAGGGAGAGAGGAGAGCAAGAAATACAGAATGTTTTTATGTGTTCAGTATCAGCACCTCGTGTGCCTGGTTTGGGGTTTGGGTTTTCTTGTTTTCTTGAGGTTTTTTTGAAGTGCTAAACAGATTGTGGTGCACACAGTAGGGATGATTCAGTCTGATGTTTGAGGAAGCTTAGTGCATTACTAAAAATGCTATGCAGACCACATAAATCTCATCGCACAAGTTTTATGTCTCTTTTGTTTCCTGTTTTTTATTATTTAGGCAGAAGAAATGCGTCCAGGATATTCCAAATACAATTATGTGTATTTGGCAAAGGTAACCAAGTTCTTTTAAAAATAATTATTTGTAGACTCTGGTATTCTTACAGTGGTCTGATTGGAAACAAAATGTTTTTTCTTCTCAGTGCTATAAAGATCTTGGCCAGAAAAACAATGCACTGAAGTACTGTGATTCTGCACTGTCAATTCTCTCAGTTACTAATGAGGTGGGTATTGAGAGTGATAACTTGGTCTCTTGTGACCACTGTCTTGTCTTTGGCACCCATTATTGCACTGTCAGTAATAACATAATGTTTCACTTTTTCCTCTGAACACAGAACCTTCCTTTTTCCTCCCCTCTAGGTTGGCTCATTACAGTTGTCTGTATCAACAGCTTTAAAAAAATCTTTGTTTGGGGAACTGTCAAGGACTTGTCTGTGTCAGAGGCTGTCAGAAATTGAATTGCACTCTTTGTAATTCAACGCGTTTCATTAGACTATTTTAAGCATAAGCAGTTGAGTGTGTCACTCTAGCTGTGCTGAAATTTTGCCCCAGACCTACTTTTTCTCAGTTGAAAGCATTCTGGATTTTTGCCCCACAGTCTCTATTTCTGCTCCTGAAAGCCTCTGGTTTGTGATTCTTGTCAAGGCCTCCAGGGCAGTGTGTTAGCTATAGCAAAGGTAGATGAGTTATTCAAGACTGCCTTTGTCTTCAACCACAGTGCGGTTAAAGAGGCACAGTTCTTCCAGTTACATCTACTGGAACATAGTTTATTCTAAGAGATTATTAGATTCCTTTTTAAGCCCTTTAGAGTATTTTTAGTATGCGGATGCAAAATTTCTACCATATTTGAGAGAATTGAAGTGATTTAATTTCTCAAATATAAACCAAGTCATGGCAAGAAGGTTCACTCTGTCTGATCTCGTGTAGAAGCAAGTTCCATAATTACCGACCTATAACTGGAAACGTCTTACCATCCTAGAGCGTGACAAGTTCAAACCTGAGCTTTGTCAGCCTAAGGGACCCCCTTTGAGCACAGCAGATGTGGTAGGGAGAGAGAGAGGTGATTCCAGAGACGAATTGGCCCTATCCCATTTAATTCTTTGAAGTCAAGGAAAAAGACCATTAAATAGCTCTGTAACTTGATTGACAATAAATGCTGTGTGTGGAGCACTAACATGTTTATGTCAAGTGTTCCTGCTGGGAAGAAAGACCACTGCATGCCTCACCAGCAGCTGCTCCTGGGTGGCCTTTTATTTTTGGCCCAAGTTATAGTATGTACCGATCATAAATTAAGCAATCATTGCTTAAGTTCAGTGTTTCTTTAAATACATATTGATACAGATATGACATTAATAATCTCTTAACTCTGCTTTATTCTTTACTTACTGTTGAAATGTACCTTCAGCTCGCCTATTACAGAACGTAGGAAAGACTGCTATAAATTATCCGTTATTTGGTATCTTACATCTTTGCATAAAAACGAGGACCAGTGGTGTAAGTGAGAGAGCATACAACTGAAATTGCTTTAACTCAGCCTGTTTTGTATATATCTGCACTGATTGTGCTGGTGAATTTTTTGTTTTTCCTGTATTCAACTTACTACAGGCCAGGTAATCTTGCAGTGAACTCTGAAGCTATCTGGTAAAATTGCAAACAAACATACATCACAGAAACTTCTGGTGGGCAGAAGGCTGCCTGTGTTTAGTAAACTGGAAGTCATTCAACGTATTCATAAAGACTCCTTGAAAAAGTGTAGAAATAGCATAGGTTGGGACTCATCTTTGATAACAATAGCTGGACAAAATTTTGGTGACCAAAGGTAGTTGCTGAGGCTCCCCCTACACTCGGTGGAGAGAGAGATGCATCCAGGTGCCTCATCCTGCCTCTCTCTGTCCCCTGATGGCAGAGAGAGACTAGATGCGCAGATATGTGTAAGATGCATACCTGAGACACATGACTCCTAGACTGTGCAGTTAACGAGAGGTGAATCCTGCCTCTAAAGTCCAGTGTCATCAGTCTAAACGTGAGCTGGAGTTCAGTGCGCCCTGGGCCACCTGGAGCAGCTTAGTCCCTGGTAAAAGGAACGCCCCATCACATTTCTGAAGTACCAGCAGACCTCAGGGGACCCTGAAGTGAGAGCAGGAATTTGGGAGCAATCTGAGGGGGATGTGTGTGTATTCTGGCAAGCAGGGTGGTGATGAGAATAAGAATGATACTGGTTTGTGAACAGAAGAAAGAGCGGCAAATGGGCCCCAAAAATCTTCTGTCCATCTGAAGAGGACAAGATGATTTGTCTTCTTCTGTTTTGACTAATTCTATAGATATCACAGATTTGTCTGCTTTGTCTTGTTTACTTGTGATGTGTTTTAAGTTTAGAAAAAAAGAGTCCAGGAAAATATGGCGTTGAGGCAATAGTGTGTAATTCAATTTAAAAAAAAAAAAAAAAGCAGTCAGCACAAGGTAAAACCAAGCGCACGCTGAAAGGGATTACCATAAAATGGAGATCTGGAACACAAACTGCTGATGCTGTTACCTCAAGTCCCATCTGAATTAGAATATTACGCGTTGTTTGGTTATTGTGTTAGAGAAAGACTGTTACTGATTTTGGGGGGAAACATGTTGGAACTGTGCTTGGAGCTGTACGTAGGAATAACATTTAGTCAGGTTAGTTTAAGGGAGGGAAGAGACTGTAATAAGACTAAAGAGACGTTGGGGAGACAGTAATAAACGGATGCTGATAAAGTGCCTGAATTGACTGCAGCCCTGTAAAAGATCGGGCTCATGGTCTGAAATAGAAAATGCAGGTCAGCAGCAGTCTGAGGATTTCTTTCGGTTTGCCACAGCACAAGATCTCAAGGCTGTCAGCAGCGTGGTATGTTGTCACAGTCATGTGAAACTCATCATTCCCAAGTGTAATCATAGTTTCTCATGTGAGTTTTCTCTCTTTCTTCAGGCAGGGGAATTCCTTTATTGTTTTTAAATGTTGGCTTCTACTGAGAAACATGTATGTGTATAAAGGCATAAAATCAGGAGCAGACCGAGACACAAAGTTGCTGGAAAGGTGCCACACTGAGGAAATGTATAGTCTTTCATGATACAAATCATCTTGCAGCATAAGTATGAAAAATAATAGTAGACAATGGTTTACTTTTTATTGCTTCTGAGCATCCACGGTTTTCAGTGACTTCAGTGGGAACCAGAGGTGCTCGGCATCAGTAAAATAGCCCATAGCTCATTTTAATCCTCAGGTCAAATTCTCAGCTGGTCTAACTCAGGGCACTTCTTTGACACTTTGTCTAGGATTCCTTTCATGTAACATTTCAAGTTAAGTACGATGATTTTTGTCTTGAATGTTGTACCACATCCAAATATCCCTTCTGTGCATCTGTTCTACCGCTTACAGAATATGTTTTTAACTCAAGGGGTAGAGGGGCTTCCAAACAGAGGTAATTCTTGTTAAAGAAAAAAAATAATCAGATGGCCAGTTTCAACCCTATTATGAACCTTAAAAAGGATAACAGAGAAATCATCAATGAAGAGACAACTTCTGATTGAATGACTCCTGTTAAGTCCTAATAACAGTTTTTAAAAATGTGCCAAACTCTTTTTAACTAATCAGTCTATGCATTTTTTTTTTTATTTTAAAAGGAAATATAGGAGTTTTGGTGCAAATTACATCTGGAAAACAAAACTGATGTTACAGTACTACTTTAGAGACCTTTCTCTTTATCGTCTCTACTCTAAACAAAGCCCTCCAGTGAATCATATGGTCCTTCCTTGGTCATAAATACTGTCATACTGTAGAGTAGTACTTCACTGCTGGAGGTGCATGGGACATTAAATTGTCCTGCTTTTCTCTGGTTGCTGTCCAGTTGGATAACCTCAGGGTCCTGGGAAACATTCACCCCTTCAGTAAAAGAGATCCTAATGTTCAGGGCTGCTGTGAGTTATGGTAAAGTGCATAACAGCTGCTCTGTTTATATAGTAGATGTTGCATTACCCTTACTGAGACTCATTACTTTGTAGTGCACTCAAAGCCTTGGTGAGTGTGACTACATGAAGGGCTGTCGAAACCAGATGTGGTGGACTACTGTGATGGAGAAAAATGACTTTTTTTAAATTTGGGGAGAAAAATGTAATTTAAATTTGAAAACATGAACAATTAATCTTGCATATAGAAAGACAAAACGAGTGTGCGGGGGGGTGCGCTTGATTAAATACATAGTGCTTTGCACGGAAGGGGAATAAGACACTAATTTCTTGTTTATAATAAAGATTGTTGGGTATTTTCAAGGCTGAAACTGGTAGAAAATTAAAGTCTCAATGTAGTATAAAGTATAATAGTAAGGAAATTATTTTTTTCTTTTATCTGGAGGTGAGCATGGGCATGAGAGTGAACTCTGTGCTTGTAGGACCAGTAAGCTCACCACAAAGGATGGTGAGCCTAGCAGAGAAACAGCCTAGCAGAGAAAGAGATTAAAATTTCAAGGTTCTGGTCTCTATGATGTTTTTTGAAAATTAATCTAAAAAGCAGCAGTTATATCACAAAAAATGTAGTCTTGGAAGAGCCGAAGACAGCAAAGCAGGAAGAATGCAAAGCAAATCTATTTGCACTGAGAGTTGCTGAAAGTCTTACTTAAAATGCAGATAAAAACTTCCCTGAAGCTGAGAATGTATTTTACGAAATTATTGGTGATTTAAAAAAAAAAAAAAAAATCTTAATTTTAAAAACACTCCCTCCTTCCCAGCAATTACAAAGGAAGGCAATTCAGAGTTGAAATTAACAAGTGAGAGAGATTTAGATATTACAGAAATTGATCATTATGGCATTCACTTCTTACAGGTGTATAATGGCAGAAAGCAGAGACTTGTTAAAGACTCTGCCTTTGGCCTCAGTGACATTTGAAACTCTAGAAAAGCCCATGTGGAGGAGGAGGTAAATGTAATAAAAGGCAGGAACAATGGCTGAATGTTTACACAAGAATGCAGCTGCTGAGGAGAAATCATGCCCTAAGATTTTCTTACATTTTTTTACGTCGCCATAATTCATCACCCTTGTCATTACTTTACATTTTTAATATTGTCTGTAAGGAAAAGAGGGGGGGTTACAGAGGGATGGACGAGAGGGCAGAGTATAAACTTCAGCACCCATCAGTTGTTCCTGTTACAATGGGCCATTTGTATATCTTGAATTTTCCAAAACATTTTCCAAGAAATGCCTACTCCAGCCACCCATAGATTGGTCGTATGTTGCAGATCTTGCTGTGATATTTCCAACAGATCTCATTTGAAGCTGCTGTGGTAATCTGTCCTCCTAAGTAAGATTTTGAGGAGGAGAAAGTAATTTACTTTTGCTTTTAAAGTGAAGGGTACAAATTATGACTTGTTTGTGAAAAAAATACTCATCGAAACTATGTGAATAATTTGGGTTAACCTTACAAAAAATGTTTTTGTTTTCTCATCAAACAGAACATTTCCTTTTCTCAACATCATCGGCTCAATACAAAATGCCATTGTTTTCAGAGGATATTCATTCCTTTAGATTCTACGCACATTTGTTCTCCAAATGCCAAGCAAAAGTCTGTGGTGTTTCAATTACAAAATAATGGAAGTATTCAGATTTGTGTTAATTTTTAATAATACTGTTTATGGAGTTGAACAAGAATTTCCTAATAGCTACCACCAATCCAAAATTAAATATCTTTTGAATATACTTTAAAAAACTACTCCTTAATTAATGATTCTGTTTACACTGAATATGAGTCCTTCAAGCTCAGGGAATGGGCCTTTTAAAAACTCATTATAAAGCAATCAGATTTCAAACTGTAAAATGCTGGTAAAAATGAGACGTTTGTAAAAGAGCTGCTAAAAGAATTTGAGACCTCCTATATTCTACATTAGTTTGCACTTCAGAGAATACAGTCTATTTTACTCTATCTTAGTGATCAGACTGATTCGCCATCTGAATGTTTTTGAAGTTCTTGCCAAAAGGTTTGTTTGCATTGTCTGCTTATTCTTTCTCCCCCTCCAAAAACAATTCCAAAAAACGATGAAGATATTTTTTGTAGTGTAGTAGTTTCATACATAAGGATAAAGTCTATCCTCATAAATACTGAGCTTGTTAATTTATGATTAAATTCACTAGTTTATCACAAAGTATCCATTTCAACATCCTATCAAAGGTAACACAGTTTTAGCACAGTTCTTAGTGCGGCAAGACTGGTCAACGGACGATCCCCCAAAGCGTGGAGTGTATCTCCTCCGCTGGCGTGCTGATGATGCAGGGGGAGAGTGGGAGAAGTATTCACAGAGATGGTGGTGCTCTGCAGGCTTAAGAGGTTCGCAGTTGGTTTCCTATTTTTGTAGTGTGGCCGGGGGAAGTCAAGCTTCCAGAAGTTTGAAATATATTGTCTCAGAGTCAATATACAGGGTGAAGGAGAGCCTCAACAGGCATCTTTCCGAAGGGGCTGTAACTGGGCGTGATCGTGTTCAAGTTGTTTCAGTGATGACTGCACAGAAAGAAGGGCTGTAGGTCCCACCGTGATGGGGCGGCAGCTGGACAGAAAGAGGGGAATGTCTCGAACACCAAAAGCTCCACGTTGCGTACAACAGTAAAAGGAAACCAGACTACAAGTGAAACTTAGTCTTTTAAGTTAGAAAAGAACTAGCGGATAAAAATTTTACACGAGTATTAATTATTCTAAATTGATCCTGCCGTTCTATAATTTTTCAACAGCAGTCCTCGAACTAGCTGAACTGTTCATTCACAGTCTTCTGGGTGTGAAAGGGTGTTTTTCCCTCTACTTGAAGTGTAATCAGAAAACATGGAATTATTGCCAGCTACGTATTTTAAAGCTGTGCTTGCCTTGATCCTAAAAGCCTTGAGAAGTCATGGTTCATCCCCGGAGGAAGATACTAAAAATACGAAAGAACATAAAATGCCCTAACTTGTGACATACAGCGGTCATATAGAAGGTTGCAAGTGGGTGATTGCATTGGTCTATTGAAATATCTAAGGGGAAAAACAGTATGATGCAATTGTATGCAAATTAACGCCTACTACCGTCACACCATCTGTGAGAGTCTAACATGAAACCGAGAATGGATAGCGTATAGCTTTATATGACTTATATTGTCCACAAGAGCTATTACTCTCTAATTAACGATCCTTGTGCATGTTTGGGAGTCTCTTCTGTTACAGTCCAGGATTATTCCTGGAGCTGTGAAGGAATGATACAGCTGTATCCGAAAGCAGGAGTGGCTCTCAGCACCTCATTGCTGTTACCGCATATCAGAGTACAGCTTTGGACCACCCTTGCAGCCCAGGTCATTTAATATACCATGCAGCCCCGCTGACTTCAATGAAACCCTACAGGATGCATGTCAGCTTGGGATTTGGCAGTGGTTGCACACAATTATGTTATAGTTGGCTGGCGTAACCATTTTGGCTGTGGTCATGGGGTTGTATCATTCTCTGTTGACAGTTGGGACTTTGTCAACAAGTGCACACATGTGCAGTGCCTGGGTTGAATGCGTTTAGTGCATAAGGAAATAATTAGCAGAGATGGAAGGTAAAATCGTTATCTTTCTGTCTCTGCTTTAATTGCCGTTTAATTTTTACATGCACATTTATATGTGTATGTCTGTGTGTATGTGTATTTATCAGTAAATCTTTTCAGCAGACATTATCTGTCAAAATGTGGACTACCTCCAGTTAAGCCAACATTCCCTTTTTCCCACCAGCTCTCTCTTCCATCTTGCTCTTGTTTTCAACTCCCTCTCTTCCTTTGTTCAGTCCCTGGCCTCCCAGGTCTTTTTTTCCTGTGCATATCTCCCGTGGATGATGAAGCAGAAAAGCAACTAAATAGGAAGAGGGGAAAATACAGTCACTGACCCTGTAATTTGAATACCTTTTGTGTCGTAGTTTGCAGAACATTTTGAACTCATATTCAACTCTGAAAATGATATGAGAAGTGTTTAATAAATGTAAGCCTTGACAGTAGAAAGTCAAGGTTGAAAACGGCTGTGTATTAAGTCAGCGCTGAACTAACCCTCAGGGTGAACAAATGGATCTGACGCAAATATATTGCATTCCTCCTACAAACTTGCATCTCTTCCTCTCCTTGCTGCACTCTAGAGGGAGATCAAAGCCTGCCTGTCTTTAAAAAAAAAAAAGCTGACCTGATTGTTCATTTTTAGAAAGCCACAGACCCAGAAATCAATGAGAAAGAGAGTTGGCCAAATACAGGATTTATGGCTTTGTCTTCCCATTAACAGTCAAGCTTTGGGCATTAATGAAGTTTTCATCCTTAAAACTGGAGACGGGTACACTGAACAGCGTTGTGGCTTCTCTCTCCTAGCGTGACACACCTCTTGGTCTGGAAGGACTCTATCCAAAGGTGACATAGTAGTTCCCTTCACTGACCATTCTCAGCTTTGTTTTTAATGCTGTTACTGATTTTTTTAAAATGCTTTGCCATCTGAGTTCTTATTATTGACTGGAAGCTACTGGCTCAATTAACGCAGCCCGTTAAGTAGTTTGCAACAGTAATAATTCCTGCTTTTACTGATGTAGTCTTGTTTAGAACTGGTGACCCAGAAGTAGGATGCTTTGCACATTTGCCGTTTCTTCTCCAGCTAGTTCTTAGAACAATCATGGATTTGTTTCATTCTTTTTCCTAAGCCCAGATGAAGATTCAGGAAAGATTGCCCAATATTTTTGGGACCTTTGCAACTCGTTAAAGCTCATTGCCCAATATAATCCTTTGCCTCTAAGAAGAGAGACAATTATACAAAGTTGCTTGGAGATACATTTTTAAAATGCTGTATCGTGCAAAGTGAGTAAAGAATCCCATCAACCCATGAAATGCTGAACACCATTCAGATATGAGAAAACCTGCATCTTTATCTTTTTTGGCTTAGAAAAGTGTGAAAAGAGTAGGACCAGATACAATGAAACCTTTTTCATTTTCTTAGTAGCATGGCACAATATCGGGCTTTTTACTTTCTTGTTTAATGTAGAATAATTTTCACAAGTTGACAACAGTCAGTTCAGAAAAGAGTGTATTTTCCCTGAATTAATCAACAAATTGATGCAAATTTTGAGTTTTCCAATCTTTATTGAAAGCCACAGGCTGATGCTCCAGGCAGCCTGCAGTGACGTGGAGTTTAAGGGGTGCTGAATTCAGTGTGACATTTCCTTCTGTTAGACTATTTTGGCAAGAGCTTACTGGCTTTGCAGTGTGTGCCTTTTAAGGCCTCTGATAAATAGTTAGGCAGATAGTTTAGGCTATTTTTGCCAGTGGGAGCAAGGCAGCGACTCCAAGAGAAGTGTCCAGCTAATGTATTAATGCCTCAATCCAGACCAATAATATAATGTAGTTTGACATGTCTGGCATATGGTTTCTATCATCTCAATATTCTTCTCTATTCCTCCATGACATTATAGACAACTAACCAAAATAAAGAGAAGCAGGAATTTCTTCACCCGTAAAATGTGTTTTAAAATGTCCTGTATTTTGTTCCAGCTCTTTGGTTGATTGGATAATGAACTGATCCCGAAATTCAGTGATTACTTCACTGTCTGTCTGCAGTATTTTCTTTCAGAATTGCCTGTGGCATTATCTGGGAAATACTGGTCTCTGTCATTAGAAATACTTGCACGAAATTTGTTATGTGCAAGTGCTTTTGGCTTGCACTGCTAAGTACACATGGGTGCATGTATTGGGTGTTTGGACCCTTACCAGCCTGCAGGTATGAGGTGCTGACTTTTTAGAAATGCCGTTTTAAACCAAGGTGCATTTTGCAAGCTAGAAGCTTTGCAATGGCAAGTAAAGCAAGTGGATTATGTCCAGGAGACACTTCAAAAGTAAGTAGAATAATGGAGTTTTTTGTACTGTGGTTACATGTTCACATGCATGTACCCCGTTCCGAACAGATTATAGATGGAATAGCCAAAACGTATGTCACTGGTTACCCATGAAAGAGTCTGTGGGCTGGGCTTGGTTTAAAGCCCCGTGCAAATTGTGCACTTAGACGTCAGCCTAAAAGGAGCCTTTCCCTTCTGTCCTAGGAGGTATAATACAGTGTTGGCTCTGAGCATAGCACATTACTTGCCTCTCGCTCCCCCATTGGCTCCACTCTGCTACGAGCCCAGTAGCGTAGGCAGAGCCCACCGCCAGTATGGGAGATACCGAGGGTGTAGTCAGTCCACAGTGGTTATTACAGGTAGGTATGGCTGTATGCACTGAAACCACAGTCTAACCTATGTCACGAATTACATTTCCCAATGCTTTCTTGTTAATTAGCAAACATGACAGAAATATCTTTAGAAAAACTGCACACAGTCAGGTTGCAAGCTTACGTAAAGTATAAGGCAAAGCAGTCCTTTATGCAAAGTAGACCAATAAAAGTTACGGCGTAAGCTGAAAGGCTTACTGGTCTGCTGAGAAGGCTATTTGTGGCTAACGTTTTAAGTGCTTTAACAGAGCTGTAAAGGGAGGGCTGCCATCTGGCTCTTGTTTTCACTTCAAACTTTATTTTTGCAATCACTGATAAATTAACTTACTATGCAGTCTTGTACATTCTGTGGCTGTTACAGTTGTGTGTTATGTCTGTTGTAAGTAAAGAAATGTGGATAGGCACGTATTAGGCAAATGAAGGGATTTATCCTATCTAAGTTGATGCATGATTGTCTGTTTCTTTCAGGATAAAGAGGCCCAGAAAGACTTAGAGGCTTTACTTCTCACACTGAAGCTGTGATACTACACACTTTTTAACTCTTCACGCTGTGATAAAATTGCAAAACTAAAATGAGAATCTATAGTGACTGGGAACTGCGGGTGAACTCCAGCTAAGTTAATGGGAAAACTGTCATTGATTTTAGTTGGCTTGGATCATGGCCTTTAAGCATCTGGTGATTATGATATGAAAATGTTGCATTCATTTTTGATTATTTATAATCTTGTACTGAAGTTTAATTTTAGATTGCTGACACTGTGAGTCTGATTCTCTGAACATGAAGTCCACTGCTGGCAATGGACATACTGGGGGTTAGAATGCAAAAGGCATAAATCTCACTCTTTGAAAGATTAACCGACTAGTACGTGATGCCAGCACAGAACTGTGTGTAGCAAAAACAAACAAACAAAATGTTTCTATAGTGAATTATATTTGTATCAACTAATGTGTACAAAAGAAAATCATGAATGTTTATGTTTACACGTTTCTCTACTCTTATAAAATTAGAATCTTGTTGAAGTTAAAGAAAAAGCTTTTGCCTCTATGAAGCTGTTTTCACTTTAAACCTACTGTTGGTTTTACACAGAAATGTGAAAACTTTATAAATGAAATATTAAAGTTATATTTTATTTGTAACATCAAGTACAATATTAAAATTCAGGCCAATGAAATTAAGTGTTTTAGATCAATCTATTACAGCTGTGATGTTTAATGGATTTGTTACAGGACCTCCATCAAGTTTTTGTGAATCTGGCTCTTTCTCTTTGAACAGTTGCCTAGCATGGTGGCATTTGGTGTTTTCTTCGAAAACCCCAAACACCTAGCATGGTGTTTTCGAAGGACCTAGTCCAGCATGTGACCATCACTAACCTTTTATATCATCTATATAACATAACCTGTACATAAAAATAGACTCATTAAAGACACACTGCTTCTGTCTGAGTGTGTAGGACAGCAATATTTTCAATAAAATGTAAA